TCCTGGTCCCTTTGCAGAAAAACAGCCCCAAAGCATGATGTTTCCACCCCCATGCTTCACAGTAGGTATGGTGTTCTTTGGATGCAACTCAGCATTCTTTGTCCTCCAAACACGACGAGTTGAGTTTTTACCAAAAAGTTATATTTTGGTTTCATCTGACCATATGACATTCTCCCAATCCTCTTCTGGATCATCCAAATGCACTCTAGCAAACTTCAGACGGGCCTGGACATGTACTGGCTTAAGCAGGGGGACACGTCTGGCACTGCAGGATTTGAGTCCCTGGCGGCGTAGTGTGTTACTGATGGTAGGCTTTGTTACTTTGGTCCCAGCTCTCTGCAGGTCATTCACTAGGTCCCCCTGTGTGGTTCTGGGATTTTTGCTCACTGTTCTTGTGATCATTTTGACCCCACGGGGTGAGATCTTGCGTGGAGCCCCAGATCGAGGGAGATTATCAGTGGTCTTGTATGTCTTCCATTTCCTAATAATTGCTCCCACAGTTGATTTCTTCAAACCAAGCTGCTTACCTATTGCAGATTCAGTGTTCCCAGCCTGGTGCAGGTCTACAATTTTGTTTCTGGTGTCCTTTGACAGCTCTTTGGTCTTGGCCAGAGTGGAGTTTGGAGTGTGACTGTTTGAGGTTGTGAACAGGTATCTTTTATACTGATAACAAGTTCAAACAGGTGCCATTAATACAGGTAACGGTGGAGGACAGAGGAGCCTCTTAAAGAAGAAGTTACAGGTCTGTGAGAGCCAGAAATCTTGCTTGTTTGTAGGTGACCAAATACTTATTTTCCACCATAATTTGCAAATAAATTCATTAAAAATCCTACAATGTGATTTTCTGGATTTTTTTCTCTCAATTTGTCTGTCATAGTTGACGTGTACCTATGATGAAAATTACAGGCCTCTCTCATCTTTTTAAGTGGGAGAACTTGCACAATTGGTGGCTGACTAAATACTTTTTCCCCCCTCTGTATAAACATCATATCCCGTTTAAAATAACCAGAAAAGGCTTGTATCCCGGTTATGAGAAACCTGGATAAGATGCCTGGGATATGCTGATCTTAGACGGGATACTGTGGCGCGTAAACATCTTGTCCCGTTTTTTCGCGGTCTGCGCAGGCTCAGTTTCACATATCGTGGATGTTGTGTGATTTTTTTTTTCTTCATCTGATTGTCAAACAAATCACTTCAAAAAGTAGGCTACCTGCGCAGTTCGATCCACCATAATTCCATACTAATGTATTTAGCTGATACTAAATCCATACTGGGCCGTATAGCCTACTGGCTACATTCACCCCTAATTTAGACAACTTTCTGCTTATAATTTCCGACGTTTGGTAGGCCATTTTTACATGCATCTTCTCTTCTGTCATAACTCGTTGACCCAGAAGACTGAATAAAGTAGTGCTCACCAGAATAATGTCTTACATCGATTCTGTTTCGTCTAGGGACCGTGGAGAAAACGCAATCACTCCAAAACAGTGGAAAGATTGGTCCTGTGCAAAATGTCCAAATGTCATCAGTTTGACCAGCGTTTAAGGAAATGAAAAGCTGAGAAAACAATGAAACCTGTTTCTGATAAGACTTCAGTTCATCTTGGGTGCATATTTTATGTGGTTGAAATACTGTCTGCTTGCATAAGAAGGGTCAAAGAGAACACATTACACGAGATGCTGAAAGAAACAGATCATATTTCTCCACTCCTGTTCCCGAGACAAAATTAACATTTGTTGCAAGAAATGCATAATTCTGCAGGAGTTATTATAGGTCTACAATCAGTGTCCATATTTCAGTTACTATTCCATTTAACCCGTATGAATTTAAATGAGGAATTGTTGTGTCGAGAAAACGTTGCTAATTATGCTGTGAGACCAAGGAAATCCGCTGACGCTGTACTTTGATCATAAAGGTTTATTATATCAGAGTATTCCAGCTTCAATTTATGGATGTCTGCAGACACCCGGAGAACAGCAGACCTAAATTCAAATATGCTATTCTCCCCGTCCTTTGTCCCAAACCATAGTATATATCCTATGTAATCTGATATGGGTGTTTTCCCTACAGACCAATCCCAGGAGGTCACCTAACAGACTTCCTCTGCTTTAGGGTACTCCTATAGAACTGCTCTCCAGATGTCTCCCTGGGCCAAATCAACATTCTCTAAGCTACCATTTGCAAACATTAACAAAGTCATAAATTCTTCAGATACTACAGAATATTCTGTTTATTCATGGGTACAGGTATATTCGTGAGCGTGATATCCAAGGTGCATGTAAACATCTAATAATTATAATACAATCATTTACATTTTACATTTTAGTCATTTAGCAGACGCTCTTATCCAGAGCGACTTACAGTTAGTGAATACATATTTTTTTTATACTGGCCCCCCGTGGGAATCGAACCCACAACCCTGGCGTTGCAAACACCATGCTCTATCAACTGAGCTACATCCCTGCCGGCCATTCCCTCCCCTACCCTGGACAACGCTGGGCCAATTGTGCGCCGCCCATGAGTCTCCCGGTCGCGGCCGGCTGCGACAGAGCCTGGATTCGAACCAGGATCTCTAGTGGCGATGCCTTAGACCACTGCGCCACCCGTATGAATTTAAATTAGGAATATTCTGTTTATTCACGGGTACAGGGATATTCGTGAGCGCGATATCAAAGGTGCATGTGAACATCTTATCCCCGACTAAGACCTTAAACTGGATACGAGCTACTGTCCGGAATACTGTACTCATGTAAACGTGGTCGATGCCTTCAGTGCTGCAGTCGGCCTTGGAACTACCATGGTTTCAATGAGAGGGGGTAGTCGTTCTCCCCACCCGTTTTAGCATGGTCCGTGCTATCCGGGACAAGGTGACTTTTATATTTAGTCTCTGATTCGAAAATGCTAATTAGCGTCAAAGTAGACATCATGCAAGACTACAAATCCCTACAAGCTCCTGCACGTCATTTCTAGCTGGCACCTTTGCTAACAGGTACATTTTAAGAAATGTTGCCAATGTATTCATTACTACATTTAGCTAACATTAGATAGTTAATCCAGAGATTCTTAACTTTTCCTCGATTTCGCAGTCTCGTTCAGATCATAATGGCATTTGTAGTTCTTTATGATAGCCACATTAGCAGCTAATTAGCGTTTCATTTGTTGGGGGGTAAATAGAGCCTAATGTATTGATAAAAGTCACCTTGTCCGAGAGAGATTGACACGGTTATCAAAACGTAATGCCAGGGTAAACCTACACGAAACACAGCGCTTATCTAAAATCCCCTACGGGTAAAATTAATGGTGGGAAAACGATTGGAACCATTTCCCTATTCGACCACTAGGATTTATGGGTATTTTGACTCATACTGTGGTACTCTATAGCCATTGAGGGCTTCCACCATTTTAAAGTAGTCAACTGGGCGGGGATTCCTATCAATTGGGAGCAATCAGCCAATGAAGAAGAAGTAAATGGACTACTTTAAAATGGAGATCGCCTCAATGGCGCTACCCATACTGTCACAGATGCTATAATGGTACACAGATACAAAGATGAGTCCGCTTATCTATTTTCATGGCCTGTTGTTCACACGCGTATCTGCCCTCTCATTGGCTAGAATGGTCCCACCTGATCTTGCCTCCTCCCACGCACCATCCATCTTTGAGAACATGTATTTCCATTGTTAGAGCGGTCACTTGACTAGCTTGTCAATATAATAAACTATCTTTGGCGTAACCAAGTGTTAACCACGATGATGTACCATATATAAAACCTGGATTGCTGATGGGATTGAAGCCACTGGTCGGCCATATTGGCACTTCCCAGTAGGAGCAGTCGTCCATAGGAATAAATGGAATTCTGAAGTATTTCAATTAAATGTTTCAAGGACAAAATTACATGTATTTAAGTATATACTTTAGTAAGGAAAATTTTTATTTTAAATGTAATTATGTTTAGCTCACATAATATAATTTAAAAGTATGCATTAAGGTGTCTGCAATAGAATAAATGTGGCAAAGACGAATGTAGACGTTAATAAATGCATTTCTATATCTCTATAAATATTTTTTACATTCGTGGGGGAGCGCCAAGATGGAGGCACGGTGGCTTCAACACAGCGCCCCCTATCGGTCATCTAGTATATACCGGCACGGTGGCTTCAACACAGCGCCCCCTATCGGTCATCTAGTATATACCGGCACGGTGGCTTCAACACAGCGCCCCCTATCGGTCATCTAGTATATACCGGCACGGTGGCTTCAACACAGCGCCCCCTATCGGTCATCTAGTATATACCGGCACGGTGGATTCAACACAGCGCCCCCTATCGGTCATCTAGTATATACCGGCACGGTGGCTTCAACACAGCGCCCCCTATCGGTCATCTAGTATATACCGGCACGGTAGCTTCAACACAGCGCCCCCTATCGGCCATCTAGTATATACCCGTATACAAATCATTGGTTAACCAACAACTGACTGCTTATGAATGAAGGCCATTACATTGATGTAGGTACAGTTGCAAGTGGTGTTGCAGATTATTATTGGGGATTTAGGGGCACATGTTCATAGACAGTGACTAAACACAATTAATTGCAACAGCAAAAAGGTTTTATTTCACAGTAAAAACTCTGCACAATTTCAAGTAAATCCCAGGTAATTGTTGATCAGTCCAGTTTTTCCAAGATGTGTAAAGTATTGAGGTCGTATTCGTAAATATTTGCATAGTGTGTAGAAGCAAAGAAAACAGTAGTAGACTATTACTCTGGGTTCCGTAACAGTCAGTCGTTCAGTCGTATGAGTCTGTCGTTCAGTCGTATGAGTCTGCCGTTCAGTCGTACGAGTCTGCCGTTCAGTCGTACGAGTCTGCCGTTCAGTCGTACGAGTCTGCCGTTCAGTCGTACGAGTCTGCCGTTCAGTCGTACGAGTCTGCCGTTCAGTCGTACGAGTCTGTCGTTCAGTCGTACGAGTCTGTCGTTCAGTCGTATGAGTCAGTCGTTCAGTCGTATGAGTCTGTCGTTCAGTCGTATGAGTCTGTCGTTCAGTCGTATGAGTAATCCAGTGAGATATAAAGTTAAAACTGACTCCTTCATTCTATATACATTCATTCTTTGTAAAAGGGAAACAAACCACGGAAAAACAAACAAATAAGCAATTGCATCATGGTCCACATTTGGTAAGCACTACTCACTGTTCCCTTTTTACAATTTGTTCCCTTTACATTTTTTTTTTATATACATAAAATATCCAGAGGCGATAAGATACTTAACAATTTAAGTTATTCTAAAAATAATACACGTTTTAAAATATCTCACTGCTCAATTTAAACTCAGATTTAAGAATGTTATGGCAGGTAAACTGAGGAATTTATCTTGATAGGCCTACAGTTCATGTCAGTTTTTGATGGTTCAGAAACAAGTTTTCCTCAGCAACAGTTTCATAACATTCATAAATACAATTTCCAATCATATTTCCCAGTAACATTTTGGAATGCTACAAAAATCATTGTGAATTTGACCTTTGGTTGAGTTGTCTAAAATCGTAACACGTTACCATCTCATCAATATTTATACGTACAAAATCTGATGTGATGATCCCAAAACAACATTTTAAAACCTGGGCAATATTTGCCATTAAAAGCAAGTGCCTCGGTGATTGGTTGAAAGAAGTTCCTTCACGGGAAAAATAAAGTGATTATTCTATTCTATTAATATGAGTATTAGCTACTATGTCTCTCTGAGCCGATGTGGTTCAGTTCCTTGTTTCTGTTTCTCAGGTGCCTCTTACGAATCTTAATGACCCATTTCACACTGAAACTGGCAAAGTTAGCAGCCTTGAACAGAGCCATGAACACGCCACACAGAATGGCTACTGTATTCCACGGATTGGCTGTCACGATCTGTGGAGAAACATGGGTAAAAAATATTTCGTTGTTAGTTATACGCCTATTCCTCAGAGCAGGGATAGGATAAAAAAAAAAAACTACACCAGTAGAATAGGATAGAATGGAATAAAACAGAATATAGAAAAATAGAATAGATGCTATTCTAATAATGCAATATAAATATGTTCGCTTACATCTCTGACTTCTTGTACAAAGGGATCCCTCCATTCAAACGCAACAAAGAAAAGCTGAATGGCTTCTTGCTCTGATACAGGTCTCTTGTCATTATATTTGACCACACTAGACTGGAAGAACAGACAACTGTAATGTTCTCATCATGATGTAGAAAACCTTTCGTACTCAATAGGGACAAAAAAAAATGACAGCTACAACAGGAACATGTAAAGGGAAAATGTGTTCTTTGCAACATGTCGCATGTTTTCTGCCACAGTAGATGCTAAAATTAATAATTTAGGTAATCTTATCAAAATTAAAGGTGAAATAAATAAAAATAGACAACATTTAAGGAAACCTGAATGTTTAGGAACATTACTGACCTCTTGCCGGAACTCCATGGACTCGTTCTTCTTCCCAGAGGTCTTGACCAGTGACATCTTGACCCAGGTCCTGAAGCCTCCAGAGAACGTCCTCATGGAGTAGTTCCTCTCACAGGCCTGCATGAACGCTGATTTATCCACGCTATAACAGGAGGTGGAGGGCAGAAAAAAATGGTTGTTGTTATACGCACATCTCAATACACTTAGGTTACACTATATTACTCGTTAAACCTGGGATTTTAAACTCTATTACACTCTAATCCAGGGATTTTAAACTCTATTACACTCTAAACCAGGGATTTTAAACTCTATTACACTCTAAACCAGGGATTTTAAACTCTATTACACTCTAAACCAGGGATTTTAAACTCTATTACACTCTAAACCAGGGATTTTAAACTCTATTACACTCTAATCCAGGGATTTTAAACTCTATTACACTCTAATCCAGGGATTTTAAACTCTATTACACTCTAAACCAGGGATTTTAAACTCTATTACACTCTAATCCAGGGATTTTAAACTCTATTACACTCTAAACCAGGGATTTTAAACTCTATTACACTCTAAACCAGGGATTTTAAAACTCTATTACACTCTAATCCAGGGATTTTAAACTCTATTACACTCTAAACCAGGGATTTTAAACTCTATTACACTCTAATCCAGGGATTTTAAACTCTATTACACTCTAATCCAGGGATTTTAAACTCTATTACACTCTAAACCAGGGATTTTAAACTCTATTACACTCTAATCCAGGGATTTTAAACTCTATTACACTCTAATCCAGGGATTTTAAAGTATAAGGGGGAGTGAAAACCTGCAGACACTCGGCCCTCCAGGAATTAAGTTTGACACCTGTGCTCTAAACGAACAAACTGGGCCAGTATTTTACCTTCTGGACAGGTCATTGTATTAAACTGGGCCAGTGCTTTACCTTCTGGACAGGTCGATGTATTAAACTGGGCCAGTGCTTTACCTTCTGGACAGGTCGATGTATTAAACTGGGCCAGTGCTTTACCTTCTGGACAGGTCGTTGTATTAAAATGGGCCAGTGCTTTACCTTCTGGACAGGTCGTTGTATTAAACTGGGCCAGTATTTTACCTTCTGGACAGGTCGTTGTATTAAACTGGGCCAGTGCTTTACCTTCTGGACAGGTCGTTGTATTAAACTGGGCCAGTATTTTACCTTCTGGACAGGTCGATGTATTAAAATGGGCCAGTATTTTACCTTCTGGACAGGTCGTTATATTAAACTGGGCCAGTGCTTTACCTTCTGGACAGGTCGTTGTATTAAAATGGGCCAGTATTTTACCTTCTGGACAGGTCGTTGTATTTGTCGAAGAGCATGTATGTGATGGCACTGAAATCTTCTTCTGTCTCGTTCTTACTGAACTGCAGGAAGATTAACTCCCTGTTTCTGACATCTGTTGGACCGCTGACCACCAAGGCTTGCTTCTACAACAACCAGGAAAAGAATTCATTTATTAAATGACTGAATGACTGACTGACTGAACGAACAACTAATCTCAGAAACCCAGAACTAAAATCTTGCATAATTGCGTCAAATACCATTTATGTTATGTAGCCTGTCCATGAGAGATTACTAAGCAACCAACCAACCAATCAACCAAGCAACCAAGCAACCAAGCAAGCGACCAATGAATGAACGAAAATGCTTTGAACAAATGTTGCAGTGTTCTATCTATAGATGTGTTGTTCTCACAAATTAACCAACCAACCAATAAACCAACCAACCAACCAACCAACCAATAAACAAATGAATGTGCATAAGTGGTCTATAGTAGTATGGTTCTCACCACGGTGTGGTTGGTGAAGGGGCCAGTGTAGGTCACCTCCTCCATGACACAGTCTCCTGGCTGGGGCTTCCCTGGGGTGACCAGCGGGGGGATATGGGCATGGTGGTGGTGCTGACAGCTCAACAGCTGAGCCGTCCCAGGGTACAGGGCGATGCCTGCTCACAAAAGGATGTTCCATCAAGAAAACTAAGATTTAAATCAAAATTAGCTTAATGTTCTCTCAACAACAAAAAAAATATATAAGCTTGACATTTTGTAAAAAAATTAATAATGTTTAATAATTATATTCTCTCTCCCCAAAAGCTTCATATTCTCTCTGATCAGCATTCACACTAAACCAACATCTTAAATCCAGCTAAATAGAGACCTTTATTAAACACATCTGTTGGTGTATTGTAAAGTGTATCTGTTGGTGTATTGTAAAGTGTATCTGTTGGTGTATTGTAAAGTGTATCTGTTGGTGTATTGTAAAGTGTATCTGTTGGTGTATTGTAAAGTTACCCCCCGGGCACTGATCGTGGGTCAGTTTTGTATTCCCCCCCCCCACCCCCCCCCCCCCCCCCACCCCACTAATGGTTAAGGTTAGGATTTGGGGGGGGGGGGTGATCCTTGATCTGTACGTTGGAGCAGTTGCACCAACCTGGGGGAGAGAAGACATCCACCTCCTTGTATGTGACGGACATGACAGGGTGACTGAGCTTCTCCATGAAGTCGGTGATGGTTTGGTAGGCCAGGAACACAGCCACAGCAGTCAACACCAGGTAGATGAACAGTAGCAGGACGGTGAACACGTTCTTCAGACAGGCCTTGTTGAATAACGTAAACGTGTTGCCGTTCACTGTGTCTTCCTCTGGAATAATAATGTCAATAAAAAGGTACAAATTATTAAATAATTAAATGGAAAGGAAAGATTGTTAATCGATACTAGAGAGGGACATGAATGACATATTATAGGTAATAAAATAGAGATATGAATATTACAGTAGTCTTTACAATATTATTTTTTGGGAATAGACTAGAATAGGATAGAATAGAATTGACTAGAATAGAAAATAATACAATTGAATATAGTAAAAAATAATAGAACCTGGTAGAACACTGGCAATGGATTCTTCTGGCTCTTCCAGGCCACAGTTGGCACTGCCATTGTCTTGGTAGAAGTCTGGGGTTTGTAGTTCTTCCTCCTCGTCATTGAACTGTATCAAATAAAAAGGTACAGATTTGTACTATTAATGGTTGATTTAACACAAAGTATTAGTGCACATAAAGTACAGTGTCTTCCACTTCCAGATCCAAAAGCAGACAGGTGGGTCTGTAGACTTTCAAGTCCACTACTCTAATAGTAGAGCAAAAGTCTTAAATCAGCTGTAAGTCACATGATCTTGTTTCTATACAAGGATCCGCTCCTAGAGGTTAGTCCCAATATTTCCCCCCAACTTCCTGAAAAGTCATCGATCAATACAGATAGATACCAATTGGAAAGTCATTGATAATGACATGAAATCAATAATCAATTAAAATCCGTCAGTGGCCATAACAGAACTTACTTCTTGGTATGAACGGGAGGTCTCCTTCCTAAGCATTCCGACTCGTCTTCAAAGAATACTTGGACTTACTATATAGTTCATTAAAACTCCGGATATTATAAATGATCCATTTTTATTCATAATAAAAAAAAAATCCTCATGTGGCTCTCGCGCAGGTAGAGATATTTAACAGGCGGATTTGGTCACGTTCGTGCGTAGTTAAGCAGTAGCCTACACCTAATTATACAACCTCTCTGCTAGCACTAACGATGACGTCACTTTCCTATGGTAATGAGGGAACATTCAAAATAAAAGCCCGCATTTCAAAACATTGCAAGGTGGATAACTCATTAAAAAGATATTACATTTTAATCTAAGTCGATTTTTATTGTGCTTATAAACAAATGCAAGAAGGAATTTATGAAAAAAACTAATATATATATATATATATATTTTAAGACCACTATTGAAAAATACAATATTCAGACTGGTATGTTGACAATATTTTGCTTATAGTGAAAAACGTTTCTTTGCACTGATGTAAAAGTTGGATCCGAGCTCCTGAGTGGCGCAGTGGTCTAAAGCACTGCATCGCAGTGCTAACTGTGCCACTAGAGATCCTGGTTCGAATCCAGGCTCTGTCGCAGCCGGCCGCGACCGGGAGACTCATGGGCGGCGCACAATTGGCCCAGGGTAGGGGAGGGAATGGCCGGCAGGGATGTAACTCAGTTGATAGAGCATGGCGTTTGCAACGCCAGGGTTGTGGGTTCGATTCCCACGGGGGGCCAGTATAAAAAAAAAAAAATGTATTCACTAACTGTAAGTCGCTCTGGATAAGAGCGTCTGCTAAATGACTAAAATGTAAATCTGTAGAATCTATATAAGGTGTCATTTCATGGGGTTTTGAATAATATGGAGTGTTGCTGGACTGCGATAGTACCTGAGAACGTAGTCACATTGGACAGTTATAGCCATAGATATGCAACATAAAGTTAGCAGTAGTAATTGTGTTACTTTAAATCTTAAGATGATGGATTACTTAAGCCTGTATGAAAGATTTTAGAGGATACATTACTTCCAATTCAGAAATACCTTGCATTACAGTATCTGGCAGTGCATGGGGTTGTGGTGGATGTGACACTAAACTATGAATTTTCTCATCTGTGCCCCCATTTTAGTTGTGGTGTTTATGTGTGCTTGTTTTCTAAAGCAGTCTTATTAGAGCGCAATGTGAATACACTTTGTCACAATGGCATGCAGTGGTGTAAAGTACTTGAGTAAAAAATACTTTAAAGTACTACTTAAGTAGTTTTTTGGGGTATCTGTACTTTACTTTACTATTTGTATTATTGCCAACTTTTACTTTTACTTCACTACATTCCTAAAGAAAATAATGTAGTTTTTACTCCATACAGCTCCGAGACAGGATTGTGTTGAGGCACAGAACTGGGGAAGGGTACCAAAACATTTCTGCAGCATTGAAAGTCCCCAAGAACACAGTGGCTTCCATCACTCTTAAATGGAAGAAGTTTGGAACCACCAAGACTCTTCCTAGAGCTGGCCGCCCGGCCAAACTGAGCAATCTGGGGAGAAGGGCCTTGGTCAGGGAGGTGACCAAGAACCCGATAGTCACTCTGACAGAGCTTTAGAGTTCTTCTAGGTAGATGGGAGAACCTTCCAGAAGGACAACCATCTCTGCAGCACTCCACCAATCAGGCCTTTATGGTAGAGTGGTCAGACGGAAGCCACTCCTCAGTAAAAGGCACATGACAGCCCGCTTGGTGTTTGCCAGAAGGCACCTAAAGGACTTTCAGACCATGAGAAACAAGATTCTCTGGTCTGATGAAACCAAGATTGAACTCTTAGTCCTGTGTAGCAACGCTACCCATCCAACCTGACAGCGCTTGAGAGGATCTGCAGAGAAGAATGGGAGAAACTCCCCAAATACAGGTGTGCCAAGCTTGTAGCGTCATACCCAAGAAGACTCGATGCTGTAATCGCTGCCAAAGGTGCTTCAACAAAGTACTGAGTAAAGGGTCTGAATACTTATGTAAATGTAATATTTCAGTTTTTATTTTTAATAAATTAGCAAAATTGTCTAAAAACCCTATTTTGCTTTGTCATTATGTGGTATTTATGTGTAGATTGATGAGGAAAAAAGTTTGGAGCCTGCTGGTTTTCTGTTCTACCTGATAATTAATTGCACCCACCTGGTGTCCCAGGTCTAAATCATTCCCTAATTAGAGGGGAATCACCCCCCTGGTGTCCCAGGTCTGAATCAGTCCCTGATTAGAGGGGAATCACCCCCCTGGTGTCCCAGGTCTGAATCAGTCCCTGATTAGAGGGGAATCACCCCCCTGGTGTCCCTGATTAGAGGGGAATCACCCCCCTGGTGTCCCTGATTAGAGGGGAATCACCCCCCTGGTGTCCCTGATTAGAGGGGAATCACCCCCCTGGTGTCCCAGGTCTTAATCAGTCCCTGATTAGAGGGGAATCACCCCCCTGGTGTCCCTGATTAGAGGGGAATCAACCCCCTGGTGTCCCAGGTCTGAATCAGTCCCTGATTAGAGGGGAATCACCCCCCTGGTGTCCCAGGTCTTAATCAGTCCCTGATTAGAGGGGAATCACCCCCCTGGTGTCCCTGATTAGAGGGGAATCACCCCCCTGGTGTCCCTGATTAGAGGGGAATCACCCCCCTGGTGTCCCTGATTAGAGGGGAATCACCCCCCTGGTGTCCCTGATTAGAGGGGAATCACCCCCCTGGTGTCCCAGGTCTTAATCAGTCCCTGATTAGAGGGGAATCACCCCCCTGGTGTCCCAGGTCTGAATCAGTCCCTGATTAGAGGGGAATCACCCCCCTGGTGTCCCTGATTAGAGGGGAATCACCCCCCTGGTGTCCCAGGTCTGAATAATTCCCTGATTAGAGGGGAATCACCCCCCTGGTGTCCCTGATTAGAGGGGAATCACCCCCCTGGTGTCCCTGATTAGAGGGGAATCACCCCCCTGGTGTCCCAGGTCTGAATCATTCCCTTATTAGAGGGGAACAATGAAAATATGCAGTGGAAATTTCAACATACCAGTATTGGTGTAAACTTTCTAAATAAATGCTGGTATAAATAATAATACAATATATAGATTTTTTAAGTTACTTATTTGTAAACAAAAACAAACAAAACAATTATTTCATTTAAGTAAATTATCCTTAATTATTATTAATATATAATATATATTAATATATATAAATATAATAATAATATATAATTAATAATTATTATATAATAATATATATTGACTGGTTGCAATGTTGTGAAACATAGTTGTACTGCACTAGAGTAGGGCCCCCCTAACCCCTTCCGGCATTGGGGAACACCCTAACCTTTTCACTCGGGGCCCCCTTCCAGCGTTGGGGAACACCCTAACCTTTTCACTCGGGGCCCCCTTCCAGCGTTGGGGAACACCCTAACCTTTTCACTCGGGGCCCCCATCCAGCGTTGGGGAACACCCTAACCTTTTTACTCGGGGCCCCCTTCCAGCGTTGGGGAACATCCCGTGCACCCGCCACGTCTATTTCTATAGGCACAAGCACTGTTCACACCCCTCTTGTTGGTGGAGAGAGTTTTACAGTTTTAAAGCTAACGTTCTTGCAATTATATACATTTTGCCATGTCTAATATGTATTCATGTGATATTTGATTGACAAAAAAATTACAACAATATCTATGGGCTAAAAAAAAAAACGACATAAAAAAAAAACGTTAGCTGACATGGGCTAGTTCATCTGGACATTTCGGGATAGATTATAAATATCTCTCTAAGGAATGCAATGGCTAACATGACAAGAGGAAGTGATGCGCTACCTTGTGCAGTCTACTATAACAACCACTGCACTAGATTGCAAAATAATATCGATATTCCCAATGTTTAGGAAGTCTTTGTATGGGACTCTTATTTTGAGGAGGGGGGGGATCCGCGAACGTGCTGCCAGCATAACATCCTACTGCCAGGAGAACGGTAATCTATATTGTAGTCCGTTGGTAGAGGAGTGTATGCGTTGCCCTTAACTGATGATGACAGGGCGGTTTTATCTTTTCCCTCTCGGTAACTGTTGTTGGATTGTGTGGGAGTGTAAACTTGTCCCAGAACGGTTTTAAGAGAGGCATCCAATTTGACCCGCCTATTAAATGCACGGCGCAGCACTTTTGGCCGCTGGCTGCAAATGATTCGTAGGACGTGATCAGAAACCACATGATCAGAAACCACATGACCATCTAGTGAAGGTTGGGGCAAATCCAATATTTATCGGGGAACGTGGATCAAGTTTACTTCTAACTTTAATTCCACTTTCTTCTCTAGTAGCCTACTTGTGTTCGCGGGCTCATATCTTGGGCTATTATTATTATATTATTATTATTAAATTACGCATGTTCTTGGGTTGTTAGGCCAATTAGAGCAGGAACCAGGAAGCAAAGGATCTATTAAGAAGAGGACATCGGAATTATTTATGAATGTTGTTCGAGGCTTGTCCAAAAAAGCCAGGCAACCATGGTAACACCAGTGCAACTTTGTATCACATGTGTGCTTCTCGTGTTGAGTTTGGCAGACGATGTTAAACTTAAACACAAACCGTCCTCGAAACCTGTCCGACTGTTCACCGACGAAGATTTAAAAAGGCACGACGGGAGTGAGGTTAGGTACTTGTTATGATGTGTCTATGGGTTGGCTAGCTCTGGTCCATGGCGTTAGGTCGCGTTCCTTCGCTAGTGGGAGTAGTGGAGGAACACGCACTAACGACCTGGACCAGAGCTATGGGTGTAGATTAGGCCTAGCCTTCAATTGGCTAATGGAAGTATGAAATGCTCCTCTTGTTTATATAGGTGAATGCAATGGATTATAACCGTGAAGGTGGGATCAGCCAACACAATGACATCAATTTCTTTATCACTGATAATGCTAATTGTTCTAAAGTCACTGTGCCTGTGTTTTAAGGAGGGGCAGGCCATTTACATGGCCATAAAAGGAGTGGTGTTTGATGTTACCATGGGAAAAGGTAAATATCACACACACACAGTGTTGGGGTCGTCCCCACCTCAGGAAAGGCGGGGTGATAGCTTATCACTGCCGGTGTGGCGTGATGTTGATGTCACCAATGATATCACCATAGTTCAGGCCAGTAAAGAGACAAGATAAAGTTATGTGTCAATGCAGAATTACATAGCTGTGTAATGACCAGGGTTGGGGTCGATTCCATTTCAATTGCAGTCAATTCATAAAGTAAACCAAATTCCAATTTCACATGTTCCTACTTGAAAAGCATTGAAGAGAATTGGAATTCGAGTTTGAATTTCCGTGTACTTCCTGAATTGACTAGAATTTAAATGGAATTGACCCCAACCCTGGTACATGATAGATAGAGTACCAGTCAAAAGTTTGGACACACCTACTCATTCAAGGGTTTTTATTTATTTTTTACTATTTTCTACATTGTAGAATAATAGTGAAGACATCAAAACTATGGAATCATGTAGTAACCAAAAAAGTGTGAAACAAATCAAAATATATTTTATACTTCTTCAAAGTAGCCACCCTTTGCCTTGATGACAGCTTTGCACACTCTTGGCATTCTCTTAACCAGCTTCATGAGAAATGATTTTCCAACAGTCTTGAGGGAGTTCCCACATATGCTGAGCACTTGTTGGCTGCTTTTCCTTCACACTGCGGTCCAACTCATCCCAAACCATCTCAATTGGGTTGAGGTCGGGTGATTGTGGAGGCCAGGTCATCTGATGCAGCACTCCATCACTCTCCTTCTGGGTCAAATAGCCCTTACACAGCCTGGAGGTGTGTTGGGTCATTGTCCTGTTGAAAAACAAATGATAGTACCACTACGCCCAAACCAGATGGGATGGCGTATTGCTGCAGAATGCTGTGGTAGCCATGCTGGTTAAGTGTGCCTTGAATTCTAAATAAATCACAGACAGTGTCACCAGCAAAGCACGATCACACCTCCTCCTCCATGCTTCATGGTGGGAACCACACATGCGGACATCATCCGTTCACCTACTCTGCGTCTCACAAAGACACAGCGGTTGGAACCAAAAATCTCAAATTTGGACTCATCAGACCAAAGAACAGATTTCCACCAGTCTAATGTCCATTGCTCGTGTTTCTTGGCCCAAGCAAGTCTTTTCTTATTATTGGTGTCCTTTAGTAGTGGTTTCTTTGCAGCAATTCAACCATGAAGGCCTGATTCACACAGTCTCCTCTGAACAGTTGATGTTTCTGTTACTTGAACTCTGTGAAGCATTTATTTGGGCTACAATTTCTGAGGTGCAGTTAACTCTAATGAACTTATCCTTTGCAGCAGAGGTAACTCTGGGTCTTCCTTTCCTGTGGCGGTCCTCATGAGAGCCAGTTTCATTATAGCGCTTGATGGTTTTTGCGACTGTGCTTGAAGAAACTTTGAAAGTTCTTGAAATGTTCTGTATTGACTGACCTTCATGTCAAAGTAATGATGGACTGTGGTTTCTCTTCGCTTATTTGAGCTGTTCTTGCCATAATATGGACTTGGTCTTTTACCAAATAGGGCTATCTTCTGTATACCCCACCTACCTTGTCACAACACAACTGATTGACTCAAACGCATTAAGAAGGAAAGAAATTCCACAAATTAACTTTTAAGAAGGCACACCTGTTAATTGAAATGCATTCCATGTGACTACCTCATGAAGCTGGTTGAGAGAATGCCAAGAGTGTGCAAAGCTGTCATCAAGGCAAAGGGTGGCTACTTTGAAGAATCTAAAATCTGAAATATATTTGAAATATGGAACAGCTGTAGGTACTAAGGATGTATTATTACAGTGGGACTAATATAGTTTATCATTGTAGAGTTCTATGGGAAAGATGGACCATACAATGCCTTGGTTGGAAAGGACTGCACAAGGGCTGTGGCCAAAATGTCCCTGGAGCCAGTTGACCTGACATCTGACACGGTGAGTAAAGGAAAACAAAACAAAGGGCGTCATAAAGGGGTGCAGCGTCATAAAGGGGTGCAGCGTCATAAAGGGGTGCGGCGTCATAAAGGGGTGCAGCTTGAAGGGGTGCAGCGTCATGAAGGGGTGCGGCGTCTTAAAGGGGTGCAGCTTAAAGGGGTGCAGCTTAAAGGGGTGCAGCTTAAAGGGGTGCAGCGTCATAAAGGGGTGCAGCGTCATAAAGGGGTGCAGTCATAATCCTAACTCATGACGTTACTACCCTGCATGAATCTGCAGGTAGCTAACCAACCAGGTTCAATGTTAGCAAGCAAATGGCTCTGAGATACGAATAATAAGACAAATACACGTAACGTTAGCTAGGCGAGCCAGCCAGCTAACGTTAGCTAGCTAACAGTACACTTTTAACTTGAAATGAAACCACTTTCTGTCAAAATTTAGAAACGTGTAATATCAGAAAATGTAGCTAGCTAGACTATCTGACCCGTATAGATCATGGATGATGGACGTGTCTCCCTGTCGGATGCCATGGTTGCCCTTAGTTTAAAGATGTAATCCGGAGACCGGTGTTTTCTCCATCTCCTTAGCTATCATACTCTAATTCCACTGATTTCAAAACTCAATCCTCCAGAAAGTGGAGAGCAACACTAATGCAGCTCCGCTACACGATACATAAAAAAAAAGCAGCGTTAGACAGGATTACCTACACATACTGACCAGCTCAAATAGACAGAAGCGTGCTATATGGCAGACCAATCCGAACACCTATCTCGGCATGTCCAGCCCACTCATTATCTCAGCCAATCATGGCTAGTGGGAAGGTTGCTGTCTTTTTCTGTGGCTTAACCAACTAGGCTCGTAATTTAACAATTTTATTCGTATTTACAGATGGCATACAAGTTTGTTATTAAGGCACATGAAAGTTCACATGTTCCAGAAGGCATTTCTAACAAAAAAAACGCATTTTGATCAAAAAAAAAAAAAAAAGTTTACGTTGAAATGGCTCTCCTGTGACATACGCCTAGTTACCTGAAACAAGTCACAAATTGCCTTTTTAAATTGTGTAGAAATGCAGTAAATGAGCTTCAATTTTATAGCTGAAATGATGCCCCTGTTCTGGTCTGCAAGGAATTTGTGTAGATGTTTAACTTCCATCGCACCCTTTTTGCAGAACTAAATTATAAAGGGTTCTTCAGAAAAGGTTCCATGATCTTCCTAAAAGGTTCCACAAAGAACCAATAGAAAACCTTTTTTTTTCTAGTGTTCTCTTAGTAATGAAATGGGTTCTCTTGTCCTCTTCCCCTCTTCTTTCAGACGGGCCTTACTGAAGAGCAGCTCCAATCCCTGGAGAGTGTATTTGAGGGCACGTACAAGACAAAGTACCCCATTGTAGGCTACACCACGACGGGTATCCTCAACCAGGATGGCAGCCCCAATAAGGACTTCAAACCTGAAGAACAACCTCACTTCAACATCAGAGACGAGTTCTAATCCAAAAGGAGTTTTTGGCACTTTTTTTTTTTTGTTGCAAGGATATGTTTTGGTACGCAGAACTGGAGACATGAAGATTCAAGACAGTGAGATCCTCAATTTGCTCATGATTACATACATTAAGCTCATGATTGGAAAAATGATTCTTTATGAATTCCCAGTCAGATAAATGGATAGTACTGCATCTCTGGATGTTCTCTGATGAAGCCCATAAGGGTAGCCTACCAAGAGATGGGCAGCAATGTGTTTCAGCTGTATTTTCTTTACCTTATTTGAAGACCATATGCATCTTTAAACATGTACTGTAAGATATCATTTTATGTGGACTCCAATAAAAACATGGAATGTTTGTAACTATGTTTGTAACTAGGACTGAATGTTTTCCATTGATCATTTAAATCATTTTAATTGGTTAAATGAGCTATGAAGCTGCACAGACCCTTTACCATTAATTTAATGTCTAAGTAGTTTAAAACATGATTATATTAAAATAGTAGAAGGGAAAAGTTTGTTGCCTCGTTTTTGCATTTCCACCTGGATAGGACAGGTAATGCTACCTTGTAGAATATGTCACATAGAAACATTTCCACCTGGAAATGAGGGCAGTGGTATGTTCTTTTAAAACGTCTTAGTGGTAGTATATTTTCTGACTCCGAAAAGTATAAATCAATCACTAGTCATAACTTCAAGGCTGTAGCTGTTGTCTGAACGACCAAAGGTCCCCCATAGACACTAGTTATAAGTTTAAGGCTGTAGCTGTCGTCTGAACGACCAAAGGTCCCCCATAGACACTAGTTATAAGTTTAAGGCTGTAGCTGTCGTCTGAACGACCAAAGGTCCCCATAGAGACACTAGTCATAAGTTCAAGGCTGTAGCTGAAAGGACCCAACAGCCACGGTGCGTAGAGGATAGCACGACAGTAGTGGTCAGCAGCCCGTTCCGTTCTGTAGGGTGGAGCTTTCAATGACACTCGTCTCAGGCAGGTTGTCGCTGTCATCGAACAAGGTGAGGCTTTCCTCTGCTCTGGCATTTTTATGTATCTGATTACGAGTCAGACATGAGCAGCCTACCACGTCAGTATAAGTAATCTTCACAGCCAAGTTCAGAGGACAGGTGGATGCCCAACCCTTTCAGAGAGTGTCCCCGAGCAGAGCAGGACTGAGAGTTCCCCGGGGAAGTTGGCCACTACGATCTCTCTCTCTGGAACTTCGGAGCCCACGTCCTGTCACTAGACCTGATACGCCGTCCGGAACAAAGATGCCTAAAACGGTGCGTTTTATATACGTTGTATTTGTCCCACTATGTAATGTGTCATTTACTACACGTAATGTTTAATAGGCTACTTTCTATCTGGATACACGTAACAGAACCTAGACCGAACTAGCCTGTAATACAAAGCAAAGGTCAACCGGACGATCATGTCATTTCGCTGAACAATATTACCAGAATAATGTCTGTCTTCAATTAAATATCCAATGTTGTCTAAAGGTGATATAGCCCTAACACTAATGATTTGATGATGACAATCACTGAAGTTTCCCTGATTATTTGTTACGGTGTTACTTGGTTGGTAATGTCATGTCATGTGGCTACTGAGTTACGTTTGTCTCAAAAAAGTTTCAATTTTATCAATATGAACCAAAACCCGAGTCCGAGGGTATTTGCTTTAATGTGAAACAATCTTTATGAATATGCTTTGGTTTTACTTAATATATAATAATTATAGAATATATAATAATTATTTAATATATAATAATTAGTTAATATATAACCCAGTTCCTTTACAAAGTTATAATTCACTAATAATTATGTAACAGTGTTCGGTTTCTCTACAATGGATGATTTTACTTTAGAGCATTAACATAGTTTTACTGAAGGACTATATTCCTCTCCCAGAATGTTTTTCTATAATATTCCTCTCCCAGAATTTCAGCAATGTTCTCATGGTGACTGAGATGCACCATTGTAAAAGAGCTGTAGGCCAAGCCTGCAGTGGATGAGTGTTGTCTTGTGTAGTTAACAGTATAGGAAGGAAGCCATCTTCTGTTGTAGGAAACTCCAGTGTGACGCCTACCCGGCCTTACTTATTAACTAAACCCAGAGTTTGACCCACAGGTCTCTGTCTCATGACTGCTAAGGCAGGCGTTACTGGCTAACCATAGATTATCTCTCTCTCTCTCTCTCTCTCTCTCTCTCTCGCTCTCTCTCTCTCTCTGTGCTGGGCCTTGGGCTTTTGAACAGCAGTTCTGGAATCATAAAGATTCTCTGTTGGAATCCTATGATGTCATTTTGATAACATAGCAAATTTACATTTTATCAGTGGTGGGTGGTTAGTTTACTCGGCTCAGTCTTGGTTCCATAAAGGTACTGTGTTTTAAACAAACACTGCAATAGCAATAGCCACAGGAAGGTATTCTGTTGATGGAGTTTCACTTGGGGCACAGCAAACAGCGCTCCTTGAGAGAGTCCGACCGCAGGGCTCAGTCCAACATCAATCTGACGTAGTTTCTGTGACATTCTTCTCTGGAGAGTCAGAGTAGATGAAGCTTTCAACACTATGGATAATACTCCAAGGCCGCAGCCCAAATGGCACCCTACTGTATACCCTATATAGTGCACCACGTTTGACCAAAGCACTACGGGCCCTAGTCAAAAGTAGTGCTCTATAATGGGAATAGGGTGCACTTTGAGACGAGACCTAGGGTTCTAGGGTTACCCAGGGAGATGCTGGGGGAGTGGATAGAACGGGACCTAGGGTTCTAGGGTTACCCAGGGAGATGCTGGGGGAGTGGGTAGAACAGGGGGCAGCCATGATGGTTGTTGTTGTTCTCCAAATCCAATGGAACAAAATCCACATCTGATCAACTGGTCCTGTGTCGCTGTCTAGATAATCAATCAGTCAGGAGGATTGTAATCTCATCTCTAATCACAAATCTTCTTGATCAATGAAATAATAAAAAAATTTGTGCCTGCATAGAAAGTGTAGCATAGAAAGTGTAGCATATAGATCGGGGCCATATACAGTATGCTCATGGTGAGTATATGGTGATTTGCTAAGAAACATAGCCATTGTAATGGACATATATGATCAGACTGGAAAGTGCAGCATACAGATTGTGTATATATCTGCTCATGGTGATGTGTAAGGAGACATGTAGGTAGGTGGAGGCCAATGTTCCAGTAGCTGCACTTAGTGGTTA